TATGCGAAAGATTATTAGAATTTGTATATATATACTAAAAGAGTTGTAATTACGAAAGCGATTCAATACTAATAGGTAAAATTTGGCTCATGTAAGAATTCAAGTTTTTTTTTTTCTCTTTACTATGTCATTGTTTATCTTTTATTACAATAGATTTGTTCTATTATCAGAACATCATATTAGCTAAAAAAATTTTGAATATACTTGTAATCTTATTAGAATAATCAATTGAATAACAATGAAATTAGTTTTCTAAACGAAAATCTACAAATGTTTATATGTATAATAGTAAAAATTTTCTATCAAAACAGAAAAAGTACATTTGTATATTCTTGTGTTCGGAAAATTATTAAACATGTACATTAACAAACTATCATTTATTGTAAACGTGAATAGAGTTTAGTCCTAGACACGTTCACATACATGCCATATCATAACGATTTGTATATATACATGTAACGATATATAGACTACGTGTATATGCATTTTCTTTTTTTTTACTTAATTGCGAATGATTTGGTTTAGATTTAATGTAAATTTATTATTAACTAATCAAACACAAATTGAATAGATTCTCGTAATACTTTAGAATCTTTTTTTTTCTATCGCAATCGAATATATTTTAATATTTTTATTATAATATTATTTATATACGATATTGTTTATATGTATATAAATCTAATGTATGTATGTGTTGATTGCTTCATCAAAGCTCTTGTATAATGTTACTAACATCATCAAACAATCAAAATTGTTACTTTGATGAAGAGAACACATACATACATACTTTTAATAATCCGAATGCAATGAGTATTGTTATTGTTTTGATGTTTCTCTCTCTCTCTCTCTTTCTCTACTTTGAGTGACAATATTGAATGATGACATTTACTAAGTAAATTGAAACATTCATTCGATCTTTTTTTTTCCTATATACACATATATATATACAATATATGGTGCACTCAACGTTCTTATTTGTATTTATTTGTCTCATGTACATGTCACACGTACTATGTTTGTTTCATGCTCGATCAATAACCGATATTGAGTTTTTATCAGATAAGTAACTTGACATTTTTACAGACGAACGAACAATTCTGTTTTAGTTTATTATTGTTATAGGTAGTCGAACAGTTATTATCTTATTTGTTTTAAATAAAAGGATTTTCTTCTTAGCTTATAAGAATAATATTAATTTTGACGGATGTGAAGGGAATTTTTTTTTTTTTTCTATCTATCTCTTAGTTTTTTAGTTAGAATTTCATAATTATCGGGAAAACACGCAAAAAAAAAGGATAGAGATAAGTACTATGCATGTGAAAAGACAGAGAGAGAGAAAAAAAAAGATGGCAAGTAGTTGATTGAGAAGACAAAGACGGTGTGTGCATAATCAATGAAGTGCGTGCGTGCGTGCGTGCGTGCGTGTATTGACTATAATATGAATTTATCTCCTCATCGTTTATTCTCTCTCGTTTCTTTTGTTATTGTTGTCAATGTCTACTCATAGGTTTGATTCAGAAATTGAGACAGACAAAGAATATATATTTGTTCGAAATGAATTGATGAAGGAAGAAGTAGGAGAAGAAGAAACAGAAAAAAAAAACTCTAACAGGTATTCATTCAGCACTTTTACGGATGTGTATGTGTGTTGATTCCAAATATTATGATAAGAGAGCGAACGAGAGAAAAAAAGCGGTTTTCAAATAATCATTTAATGTGTGTTTCTCAATGCTTATAGTCGACAACTATGAAGCCTAGAAATAGGTGAGAATGAAAGAAGAAGAAGAAGAAGAAGAAAAAAAAAACCCCAAGAAAAGTAATGAATTGAAATAAGTAAAAATACAAAAAAAAAAAGACCATATTTAATTATCATTAATGTTATCCAAATATTATTAACAATAAAATAACATACAAGAAAGTAAGACTTTCGTTAAATTAACATTTCTTGAATTTTATATTAAGTTTAGATAGACTAAACACATTAAATTACTAATTGAAACTCTTGTCTTTCTTTCTTTCATTTTTTTTTAGTTTTTAATAATTTTCACAATACGAATATACAAAAAAAAAAACAGTATTCAAGTATAGAAGAAAACGAAAAAAAAATGAAACATTATATCTTCATAGAACATTTTACCAATTGAAACACTTATAGATTTATTAATTTTGTAAAATACATACAAAAAAAAAAGAAATCAAAATCTATTTATTATAGACTGAATCCTATTGAAATAAGAAAGAAAAAGAGATCTACATAACTTTTTTTTTTTTTGTTGTTTTTCTTCTGTGTGACTATCGATATAATCGATTGATCTATGAAAGAAAGAGAAAAAAAAAGAAAAAGAATGAAGAGAAAAAACTCCAAGAAGAAGAAAGCTTTTCTTTTTTGCTTTCTATTACTGAAAAATCATCTTGGAATGACAGAATGAAAAGAAGAGTAATGACGCACATCCACTATTACTACCGTCAGTTGCTGGTTTTTTTTGTGTTATATGTGTACTAAAGAACAGCTTTCCCTGTTACTCATATCTATGTAGAAAAAAAAAAAAAAGAAAAAAGAAATTACTATGCGCAGTAGTTTTGACATGAATAGAGATGATGTAAGAATAAATGAATCAACGATAGAAGAATGACACATAATAGTATAAATAAACCTTGCTTTTTTTTTTTTTAATTTTATTTCTAGATAAATAATAAATCATGGATGATCTATTTTATTGTATTCGTATAATGCAAATATCTACTGACAAATTACAATCAACACGTAATATAGAAAGTCTTCGTCGTTCATCACTTATACGTTCAACATTTTTACAATCTCGTAAACATTTTTGTGATTTAATTCATTCACTTATTAAAATATCATCAACAACAAATGCACTTCTACCGGTTATTATAGAAAATGAAGAAAATAGAACAAATATTCTACCATATCAACATACAATAACATCACAAAAACGTAAATTATATCATATAGATTCTGTTAAACGTATACGTCTGTCATCATCATCAACATCATCCTCATCATCGAATGTTTCAAATCAAATAACATCAGATTAGAAAATAAAGAAAAAGGTGGAGAAGGAAATGAAAAATATAGAACAAGTCATATTCCATTTATATATGTCTATTAGATTGTTGTTTCTTTTTTTTTTTTATTACAAAATAACAAACAAGAAAAAGTAAAAATTAAATATTTTATGTATATTAATTATCGATAATTACATCTTAAATATAGATTAAATTCAAATTTATACAAGATTAAAGTCAAAAAAAATCTGTATAGAAAAATTCTTTCGACAATTTATTTGAAACAATGAATTTTTGTAATACTAATAATTTGTATAATATATTTACGTATATATATATATGATAAGGATATTATGATATTGTATTATGAACTTTGAAATTATACAATGTTGGAAAATAATTTTCTGTTTTGTCAATATGAATCGAATGTTATAGATCAAATTAATTGACTTACATTCAATAATCTATCGATGATTATACTCATATAAGATTAATATTATCGATTTGATCTTATTTAAAAATCTTTCTATCATATCTAATTTTCTATTTCATAGATTAATATGAATTATTAATAATCTTTAAAATATTATGTATAGTATAAATTTTATTTTTTATTTTGTATAATAATTTTCCATTTTATTACAAAATTTGTTTGAAATTAAAAGCTTTAAAAAACAAAATGGATTGATAAAATATGAAATAATTCAAAACAAAAAAAAAATGTTAAACATTTTCATTATTTGTTGATTGTATATTGAAAGATTTCAAAATAATTTTCATATTAACATAAAAATAGAAGTCTGTAGTTTTCGCTATGCAAAAAAAAGACACATAAAGAAATCCCATTTTATCTGCGAGACATCGTCACACCTCTATTATGAACTTGATTTCACGTTGTTTTTTCGCAGGAAAATAACAACTGGTCAAATTTCAATTTATACATATATAGCTTAATCATACATATAGAGCAGCATGCGAAAAATGAAAACACATCCGATGGAATTCAATAATTATAGAATCTTGCTAAAAATCAATAACTGTATATTTATATTCATCTTTTGGTTTGATTGAAATTGTTACGATAACATTAAAAATAATATCCATTTGGACATAGATAACAACTATATGAAATTATAGTAGATTTCTAAGTAACTACTACTTACTCTTGTATAAAGAGCTTCCTGCATAAATAGAAGAGTTTTATTAAATATTCGTATTTATATTCATATTT